ATTGGAAAAAAGCTACTAATTGTGAAAAATGCGAATATTTTTTTTTCTGTTAGGTTTAGGTATAGGACATATATATATAAAATGAAAGGTAATTACTTATTCTATCCAATTATGCAAAAATATATAGGGTGTTTCATTGAATAAAAACAAGATTTTAAACTTTTAAAATCGCTATTTTCAACGGGACATAGAAAACACCCTGTATGATATTTTCCAAAAATATAATAATTAACTTATAGCTTACTTATTATTAAAGAGATGGATACTACATAATATAAAAAATAATAACTTTTAGTTGGTTATTTTTAACTTTTAGCGAGTGTCTAAATTTAGAGAAATTTTAATAAATCTTAATTTTACTCAAAAAGTATTAACATTTTCTTATTTAATGTATTTACAAAGTATACCTAAAAGAGTGGGAAGAATCCAAAAATGCAAAAAAATACAGGGTGTTCCATTGAAAATAAGAAAGTTGGTATCATCCCAAGGAAAACCGAACACCCTGTATAAATGAAAATATAATATTTTAAAAATATTTTTTACTTCGTGAATATTTGTTCCTTACAAATTTTTTGTGACTCCAGTAGTTTCTGAGATAAGTATATGGGTCACCTTACGTGGACCACCCTGTACAAAAAGTGCAGTAGTGCAAACTTTGTGATTAAACTATAAAAAAAAATAAACCAAACAAAATAAAACGATCTTTATTTCGTAGAATATACCTTAAAAAATAACATAAAGAAAAAAAAAAATATATCTTTTTTTAACAGCAAAAATAACTGCTTCAAACTATAGCTAATTTTTACAATTATTTTTTCCATAGTAACTTTTTTGTTTTTTTTTCAAATTCTTAAAAAAATTCAAATTCTTCACTATCTGACCCTATAAAATTATTTTCTATAGACTCTTCAAAGACAAGTCCTAAATCGCTGCTGTGATTATCTTCAACGACATAATCACTATAATGGTTATGTAGTATACATCTATATCACTTATATGTAGATTTCATAAAACCACTACATTACAGTTTCCTTAAAGCCCTTCTTATCACTTTGGACACTTTTAGAAGGCCCTTGTTGCGAATCCATAACGAATTAATTGTTTTATAAAAATTACGTAAACGGTATGCAGTGGTCTACTAGACACCTCAACACTTTGACTTGTAATAAATTGTCCGTTTGACAATCCAACTTGTTCAAAGTCTGAGAGCATATTGATAACTGCTCAACTTAAAAGTATTGGAAGCGACAGATTTTTAAAACAACAGGTGAGGGTGGGACAGGGCTTTGTTCGTTGATGAGTGTCTCCCATACACCACAATACCGGTTACAGGTTAAAAAAATGAGTTGTTTTTTAATAACGCATCGTGTGTTACCTGATATAATGTATTATTTTATTTTTTACTTGCGTATGATAATAGGCAACATTATGACACGCATTTGAGTTTTATAATATATCATTAAGATACGCAAATAGATAGGGATTCTTTTTTTACAAATTTGGAAACAGGATATGTCATTATCATTAAAACGTCAGTAAACATATTAGTAAATTTTCTTTGTTGTTAGTGAAAGACGTCAAGCTGACATGCGGTACTATCATCTACAAAATAAATCCCAAAATCGCAATAAAAAGTAATAATTATTATAATTCGACATTGTTCTCACAACTGTGGCAAATAAAATAATGGTATAAAGAACTCTCGTCTAATGACTCTGTCTTTAGTATACGCTAAATAAGCATTGCTAGTAGCGCCACCACGTTAACAAAACTACAACTTTTAATAATCAGCTATAAACCGCGTAGTACGAGTACGAGTGTTTTATAGAATAAGGCCGAAAAATGGTACGCGGAACGATTTGTTGTCTTGTTTGGTGTTTTTCGTGGGTTGAGTTTTTATCCGTTTCCCCATAAACAGTGGAAATCCGTAATTTTTTACGTGGAAATTGCAATAATTTCAATTCAGTAAAAATCATAAAACAAAAAGTCGTCTAAACTCAAACAGCATTATGCATTATTAAAAGCGTTGATTGAGAAAGTCTTCACTTAACGATAAATGACCAAAAACGAGTATTATATTATGTATTATATATAATATTATGTTGCCATGAATTTTTTTTAGAGGATATATAAAAATATATAAATATATAAAAATGTTTGATTTTAAGGTTATGTTACAACTATTATTTTTTGTTAGATTTCTTTAAAGTTGCACCCAATATGTACCGAATTGCATCCTTTGACAAAACATAAAATAGCAATGATTTAGCTTTTGAATTACATTTACAATTAAAAATACAATAATTTACCATGATTACTTAGATAAAATACACACACTAAAGTAACTATATAAGCACATAAGGGATGAGTTTCCACATCAATGATATAAGGAATAATAAATTAAAATCGAGTATTAGACCAAGGTTTTTCAATTTTTACTTGCAACGCAAAACACAAATAACGTGCGATTAAGCTGTGCAATTGAAACCTTGCGAACAAAATTTGTCGAGATAAAAACCAGATGCTTTTTTAGCGTATTGCTATTGGTAGACTTTCAATTTATCCCATTTTAAGTTTCAATAATTTATAAATTAATATGGGTTTTGCAAATATCGTATCTGTCCCCCAGAGCCAAAGTACGGCAAGATACCGGTATCATATACATCGAGCTTTAAACAACAATGCAGATGAATTGTTCAGGTTTTAGATCTTTAAACTGCTCAAAATCAGGTTTTTGGACTTGCCCTACTTTGGCTCTGAGGTACAGATAACCGTAATAACCATATATTGTACCACTTTGCTAAAATTAGCCTTACATTTTGTATTCATACTGTTTACGAAACAATACGCAAAAACGTCGTATTTTTATTATTAGATCTTATTTTATTATAGGACTTACTGATGTGGAAAAATGTTAAATTAAAAAGTATATGGGGCAAAATTTACCAAGTGTACCAGGTGAAAAAAATTTTGTCACCGATTTTGTTTAAACTTTACTTATTTGTTGTTCTTATAACGAAGAATCATAGCATACATTTTTTTTGCTCTAGGATTGTTCATTCAAGAGTTATGGATTATTGAAAATTATCGATTTTTTACTTTTTGGTGAAATCGCTTTTTATTTAAAAATTCATAACTTCTGTTCATCTCTTTATTAAATATTTTAATTTAACCACCTTAAATGATTTTTTCCGTACTTTTCAATGGGCTATACCGTTTTTGCAAAAAAATAAAAATTGCAATTTTTTTTTGAAAGTTTGCAAAATTTTGCATTTTTTGAAACAATGTGTATTTTTAAATTTTTTTTAAAATAGCATAAAATCCAAGTTTATTATGTTACCTTTGAATAAAAAAAAATTTTAGAGTGGGCCCGACATGTACAAGGGAAGTTTTTCATATTTGAATGCCGCACGGTCTAGCCATCGAATAGCTACTACACTGCCGTATGCGTTTATACCTAGTAGATGCGAGTAAACAAATATAAAATGATAATTTAAAATGTAAAATTATGTTTGAGTAGTCAATGATGTATTTTAAATATTTACACTGCCGCACGATATAGTTTTTTTTATTGTGTATTAGTCCTTCGGAGGGGACTTTAAGCCCGCGGTCCGTTCCTACCCCTAACCCGCACAAGCCATTCAGTTGGCTTATGGGACTTCTTAAGAAGTAAGGGTGGAACTAAAAGAGCACTTTTGTATATAAACTGTATTTTTTTGCACAAATTGTTTAAGCATGGGTCTACATAGATTTCGCAAGGAGAGTCGATGATATTAAATAAAAAATGTATTGTTATAACCGTAAAGGCGCCATTCAGCTTATAGGCAAGCCGTTACGGTTATAACAATAAATTTTTTATTTAATATCATCGATCCTCCTTGCGAAATCTATGTAGACCCATGCTTAAACAATTTGTGAAAAAATAAAGTTAAAAAACTATATCGTGCGGCAGTGTAAATATTTAAAATACATCAATGACTACTCAAACATAATTTTACATTTTAAATTATCATTTTGTATTCGTTTACTCGCATCTACTAGGGATAAACGCATACGGTAGTGTAGAGCTATTCGATGGCTAGACCGTGCGGCATTCAAATATGACAAACTTCACTTCTACATGTCGGGCCCACTCTAAATTTTTTTTTTATTCAAAGGAAACATAATAAACTTGGATTTTATGCTATTTAAAAAAAAATTAAAAAATACACATTGTTTCAAAAAATGCAAAATTTTGCAAAATTTCAAAAAAAATTGCAATTTTTATTTTTTTGCAAAAACGGTATAGCCCATTGAAAAGTACGGAAAAAATCATTTAAGGTGGTTAAATTGAAATATTTAATAAAGAGATGAACAGAAGTTATGAATTTTTAAATAAAAAGCGATTTCACCAAAAAGTAAAAAATCGATAAATTTCAATAATCCATAACTCTTGAATGAACAATCCTAGAGCAAAAAAAATTTATGCTATGATTCTTCGTTATAAGAACAACAAATAAGTAAAGTTTAAACAAAATCGGTGACAAAAATTTTTTCATCTGGTACGCTTGGCAAATTTTGCCCCATATATGAGTAAATATGAAAATGTATAAAACCTTTATGTAAACATTACAGGAAATAGAATTACATTATATGAAAATATAAACTTATTTGCATTTAATTTAATTTAATTAATAAAATATTCATTAAGTTTCGTATTGTAAATTATTGAGTTTGTTGTTAATTTAAAATAATTGGATTTTAAAATACATTAAAAAAGTTATAGTAAATGTAAAATATTCATTTAATTAAAATTTTATTTTAATTTAATATTTATATGTATTAAAATTAAACTAAACATTTTTTCTAAACGGATTCGCCATTAAATTTTGTCAAAAATGGCGAATGCACCGGGATAATTGAATTATTTTTAATTTTAAAATGTTTTTATCATAATTAAACTTATTTAGAAACATGAGGGATTTTTTTATAGGATTTTTTATTGACTTTATTTTACTTACCTGACATTCTAAACATTTGCAGTCGTCAGTTTGAGCACACGTCAGTCCCAATATCGTGGCCGCCTCCTCGTAAAGGTCTATACTATTCCGCCTACTTCGATTTTCCACCGTTTCCTCTACTGACACCGAAACACTCGACGAGCTCGACGAGCCTGCTATACTTTTTTCTGTTAATTTACAACTACCGCTCTTTTGGCTGTCCTGGCTTTCCGTTATTTGATGGCTGTTGCTTTGGTTTTGTATTAAATACTGTAACAATAAATAAATGTTTTAAATTTGTACTAAACTTATAACTTATAATTTTTAAAAAATCTTTAAGATAAAACTTTCTTTTTTTTTAATTTAACGCTAAGGTTCCATATTTAATGAGGTAATAATAAAAAAATTATAAAAATTAAGTACTTTTAAATATTTTATTAAGTTGATCTCGGTATATAGGTATAGATAGTAGTTTAATGGTTATACAAAAAATTTTAAATGTTTAGTATATTTTAATTAAATTAAAATTTTATATATATATATATATATATATATATATATATACGTATAGGCTAAAAATGTAAAATGCCTTGGTATTTAATTTTTTACTAATTTATTTATATAATTTTATATTTTACTGTATAATACGCTAAAGAAGTATCGGGTTTTCGCAACGCACGCGCCATCTGGTGGACTTCGAGTGCATTGCGTGAATTTAAGAATTGTCAACAATAAATTTAAAGCACCGATTATACATAATTTTTAAATAAATAGGTAGTTTTTTTACAAAAGAGAGGAAAGCAGAAGTCTTACTCGACAAATTTTGTTCAATTGCACAACTAAATCGCGCACGTTATTTGTGTTTTACGTTGCAAGGAAAAAATTAAAAAACTTTTTTAGTACTCGATTTCGATTGATTATTCCTTATTTCATTGATTAAGAAACTCAACGCTTAAATGCTTATATAGTTACGTTAGTGTGTGTATTTTATCAAAGGGATCATGGTGAATTATTGTTTTTAATTACAAATAAAATTCAAGAACTAAATCGTTGTATTTTCATGTTTTGCCAAAGGATCCAATTCGGTAAGTACATTTGTTGGTGCAGAATTAACTGATGATAACTTTACCTAATAAAATTTATATTTAAGTTTGGACATTTTTAAGAAATTAGTAAAAAATAATTTTTGCACAAACATAACCTTCAATCAATTATTTTTATATTTGAGTTTTCTAAAAAACGCTGACAACTGCATTTTAAACAACAAAATATACCTACAAATTCATGGCAACATAATATTATATATAATACATAATATAATGGCATTTTACCGTTTAGTGGAGACTTAAAGATTCTTAATCAACGCTTTTAATAATGCTTAATGCTGTTTAAATTTAGACGAATTATTTGTTTGGCGATTTTTACTAAATTAAAATGTTTACACTTTTCACGTTAATCACTACTAAAATGTGTATTTATTGTATCTAATAGGTACAATTTATATTTACAGAGACTGTATGCAGTTTAATTCTTTATTCAGATTAACACTGTTGGAAAACAGGTAAAAACTCAACCCGGGATTTCCTCTCGAAATACACTCAACAACACAACAAATCGATCCACTTTTTTTTTCGATATTTTTTAACACTTTCCGGCTTTATTCTCAAAAACACTCGTTTGTAACCTAAGCGTTTGACAGCTGATTATTAAAAGTTCTACTTTTGTTTCGATGATAACAGCCGAGGGGTGGCGCTACTAGCGATACTTCTTTAGCGTATACTGTTTAACAAAACAGTTCTGTAACTGGTACCGCCAAACCATTTTAATTTTCTTAATTTATAGATATTCCATATTGCTCTTTTAACCATTCTAGTAACTTTTTATCCAACATTTTATCATTTAAAAAAATTTTGACTTTTTTTACTGAAATTATGATTTTGGTGTGGGACATTCCATTTTCGTGTTCACCCGACTATAGTTTTTATGAAAGTTTGAAGGGATATGAACAAGCATAAAAATTTAAAAAATATTATCAAAATTATTAATAAATGCGATTTTTGGGGATGTGTTTTTTTTTAAATTCATCATTACATCATCCATTACAATTTTTCTTAAGAAAATATTTAAATAAATGTGAAGTATTGGTAAAAAGCGGAGTAATTCAATACAGACTACGCGAATGAAACACTCAAACTTTAACCGAATATAACTTTTAAAGTCGAGCCAACTTTTCAAAATCCTTTAGGGGTTTTGAGAAAAGTGCCCATCCAGATTGCGTCCAGGTAACTTTTGTACTTTTGCACAGTAATAATTAATAATATTTAAATGATTAAATTATTATGGACAAAAATCCAGATTATCTAAACTGAAAAAGATAAGTAAAAATAACTTATTCCTGTAAATTAATAAACAAATTGTTAAGTTTTAAGTAATTAGGGATCTATTATTTTAGCACATTTTGAGTTACCAATAATACTTTTTTTGTGCAAAAATAATCAACAGTATTGTTTCTTAATCTCTTATAAAATGCCCAAAATAAGGAACAATTTTTAAATATTTACTAATACTTTTTGCAATAGGGCCTTCACTTGTGATTTATTATAATTAAAGGCCCTATAGGTAAAACTTATCCTTATTCAGTAACCAAAAAGATGATCCAATAACTTTATTAAAAATATTTACATTTTATCTTTTTTAAATCACCTTGGTAGCGTTAATATTGCGTTTAACCATCTTATTTTAAGATAAATTTCCAAATTTCATTACAAATGCATTAAATCTAGCGTACCTATTCATTTATCAAAATAATCCGGAAATTAACATGGATACTGGTAACTGCGGTGCACTATATTGCATATGTATATCGAGCAAATTGATTTGTGAACCGTTTCGGTTTGATTAATGGAAATGCACTAAGGCTGCCACAATACATAAACACTGTTCTTAGTACCAACTAACTAAGTAGTTAGCTATTGAATTAGTAATATTATGGCTTGCTATACTAATTATTAATAGAAATAATTAATAAAGAAAATTGGTTAATAATAGATTTAGATAATTTGCTAAAACTTTTGAACAAGCACAGGCAATATATTTTGGTACAGGAATTTTTATACAAGGAAAAATTATAGTTAAATTAAAAAAAAAATATCCAAATATATTATATATTTATGTAATCTAAAAGAGAGAATTGCTTTAAAAATAAAGTCCAGTAAATCTGTCAAATCAATCAAAATTTACCTTGTATCGTAAGAAAAGCTTAATCCCCTACGTTTTGTTTTTTGTTCGAATTTCTGTTTTTGAAATCAGTCAGTTGTAAAACAAAAATTATAAAAAAAACTTAAACCATCATAACCTAAAATTTATTTCATGGGGTCCATGCTCTAGTAGAAAAAATTCAAAAAGTAGGAGGCGCTTAAATAGATATTAAATCGAGCGAAATTTTGAGTACCTACACTGAAAAAAATAAGCTGTTGAAACAACAACGAAAATATTAATTCAACTCTTTATGCACTTTAAATACAAGCAATGGTTTTTGCACGTTTACTTAACCATCTAAAACTGTAAAATTATATTGTTTAATTGAACAACAAATAACAGTCAAATGAACAAAATGAGAATATTTACTCTAATTTGCTAATTTGGTTAATTTAACATTCTTATGGTGTTAAGGTAAATTTCTTGAAATGTCCAGGTAACCTTTTTAGCATATTCACTTAACACCAATAAAATGTTAAATATAAATAATTTGCGCTAATGTTTCAAAACGGTTGGGTTAACATTCTGAAAATGTAAAAGTAAAATTGTATATAAAGAGAAAGAATTGAACCCTCACCTCGCCAGAGTTTTCGTTTTGAGTGCGTTACACCTACTATAAATACCGACAGACAGCTGTTTCGACCTATATTGGGGGTCTTATCAGTGTCGGGTAATTTGGTGTAATGAAAGTTCCACTGTGGAACACACCCAAAACAAACGGCTACCTGAGCTTATATACCTTATATCGTAAGCCAACTGAGGCGAGATGTAAGAACACGTGATCAACACCGTGGCGTGGGTGTTCGAAGCGCCCTTCGCGGCAATTTTATGAATGAAAATTTAACATTTTAAAGTAACATTTACAATTTGTTAAATGAACAAATTTAATGTTTTGGAAACGTTAATTTAATAGTTTTTTTTAGGTAATCCTAAAAATTTCAGTATTTGATTCAACCAATTCCAGCTATAAAATCAAAATAAGATAAACATTTTTTCTACGACCACTATGTAAAAGTCAAATTTCGTAATGGCATCGATGCTTAGAAAATGAATCTTTTCATTGGCAAGGCAAAACACGAATGTAAAGTGACATTCCTGTGTGAAAAGTGACAGGTCTGTGTGAAAAGAAATTGACAGCATCGTTTGACATTCGTTTCAAAATTTGTATTGTATTTGGATATGTATGTCTAAATATCATTTGGAACACAATTAATTGTGTTTGTATAATAAATTCCAATTTTAGGGCCTTTATTTAAATTAAAAAGGTAAGTTTTTTAATTTTATGTAACTTATACCTTAAAAATTAAAAGAATAAGATGAAAGAATTTTAACAGATGTCAAACACGTTTTTAGGTTATTTGTTTTGTATTTAAATATAATAAAAAATAAAACGGTCGTAGAAAAAACATTGTGTTTCAATTATGAGAAAAGCTTTCTTCAAGCTCGTGTTAATGCACACTCGGCCTGGCGGCCTCCTGAGCAACTTAAACACTCTCATGAAAAAGTCGCCTTTCAACACTTGTAAAATAAATAACTATTAATTCAAAAAATAAGTTTATGTTATATCAATATTTTAACTGTCAATTGAACAAATAAACTTTGACAAACTCTGACTATTGCTTTGACACCAAAATATAGATTAATCCAATAGGTTTTTTGATGAAAGAACATTTTCAAAAATGACATTCAGGTAAACGTTAACTCAACTACATTATTTTTTTCGGTGTACTATATTAAGTAGGTTAGGGCAGTACATTGCAGGTAAAGGGGAAAGGGAAGTTACTTTTGTACTTAATGCATCAAAAGCAATAGTTACCAACTTGCAAAAACAAAATTAAATGAAGTTCACTACAAATAAAAAAATATTAAAAAAGGTATGGGAACTAAAAATAAAGCAACAGAAAACGTGCAGTATGTAGAATGCTGCGAAAGTCTCGAGAGAAGAGCAGAAACCAAACATAAGAAAACTATTGAAGGTAGATGGGTTGTCTTTTATTAAATAATATTACAAT